TTACATATCACTGGAGTTGGTTACTTGGCGTTCTCGGAAAGCTGGAAAAATATTTTCGGATCTCAGAAATGGTCATAAGCAACATCCTTCAAGGCGCAGTATCGGGGAAGGCCGGTTCAACATAAGAATGCTGACCATCATACTTAAAAGTCTACGTACTCCCGACTGATATGTGTAGAGAGGAGCACATCATGCTGTAGACTGGAACTGATCGATGCGTCGGTCCGGTTTATGAAAATCAAAAATACGAACAACTGTTGCTCATATTCGGTTTTAGTACACGTCATTGCACTGTTTCTGTTCGTACACTACCAAGGATAAGTTCGGGAACACATAAATGAAAAATTAAATTCTACATCACCTAGCCTATCTGACCTTGATGTGGAAATGAAGGATAAAATGATATGATGAATAAATGTTGATGATAATCTTTGTAATTTTTTCGAGTAATGTTGTAAAGTACCTTTACGCTGATGTTAGATAATATGATATCAGGCATAACATTTGATAACGGCAAAAAAGCATTTGTAAACAAACTTTCTAAGGCCCTTTACACGCAAACCAAACTACGCCCACGCAAACAAACAGCATCATCATATAGGGGCCACTATCACCTTCCGAAAGTGGTATTAGTTTGCGTGGGCGTACTTTGGTTCGCGTGTAAAGGGCATAGAAAGATTGTTTACAAATGCTTTTGTGCCGTTATCAAATGTTATGCCTGATATTATGATATTTTGAGAGATATTATGCGAGATACATGATAGTGAAACATCTAGGGAACCCCAAATTTATGAACAGTAGTGTACGCTAAGCTGACGAGGTTCTTCGCGAAGCAAATAAATATTTCTTTCTTCTGAAAGTAGGGATGATCACTTCTCATGAGAATGATATGTATCGTAGTCGCAAGTAATTGTGGCTTTTCATATCTGCCGGAAATTGACTGTTACACTCAGGCATGGAAAATCATTTACATTCATTTCGTGCATTCATTTACATTCATTTGCCCCTAACTTTTTTCATCAACAGAATTCCGCAAAATGATGTATAGAGTTTTTGTAGGTTTTGCTAGTAGCTACAACTTTTGTACATAACTCAAATCCGTTTATCTTATGCATGACGAACCAGAGCGAACAGAAGCCACTACTGTTTTTCAGTGAATGTATTTAACATTCACTGAAAAACAGGAACATGATCTGCCCGCGCTAATTCGTGATGCATAAAAGATACAGATTTGAGTTACGGACAAAAGTTGTAGCTAATAATAAAACCTACTAAAGCTCTATACATCATTTTGTGGAATGCTGTTGATGAAAAAAGTTAGAGGCAAATGAATGTAAATAAATGCATGATTTTTTTTTCCTTTTGTTTGTTTTTTCCGTCGATCTTGTTTTCCGTGCTGAGCACCAATGCTACCGACGCCAGGAAGGCAGCTCCCACACCTGGACCCTACCTTTCGACCCATCAACTCATGAACCGGGGACCAACGGCTTTACTTCCCTTCCGAAGGAAGACGTGAGATGTTATGCCTCAGAACATACCGGCGGTGCCTACTGGGATTGAACCCAGGCCTGCTGGGGTGAGAGGTAATCACGCTTACCACTACACCACCGGCACCGCTGTGGTTACACTATCTATGTAAAGTTGTCGAGGTTTGTCAAACTAACCAAAAACTATTACTATTACTTCTATTACAGATAATACGTCAGTATAATTCGATACTTGCTAAACAACCTTATTTCAGGAGTCTTTTAGTGTAAAAATTATAAATTATAATCATGAATGTCTCAAAATAAAGGTTGCTCTGATTTTTTATATCGGTTAAAAATTAGCGGAAGCGATAATCGCTATCGAAAATGTTCCTAGTGGATTAACTGAAATGTGCCCAACTCTGAACGAAGCATTAACTTTTTACAACAGTTGAGAAATGTTTTCACTTTATCAATAAACGTTACTGTCATTTGCAATAAAGCAATTGCCTATGTTGTAACTAACTGATGCATTTATTTTTTCTGCTGATAACTTAATGCAAAGTTTCAGAATACATCATAGCAAAGTCTTGTCATTATCGGCTGTAATATCGTAATTATTAATTGAATCAGCTCGGTGATTCTTACAACAAGTCACACCGTCAATAGGGACTCTGTCCGCATCGCGGAGCTTTTTGAGGTATTGGCAATTATACCATATGACGTTTTGAATGTGATTCTTAGATACGGAAATCAATAATACCTGCTGTGTAGATTATATAGTCAATATCAAGGTGGGAGGATATTTTGCTTATTGCTTATATTGCTTCCCAAACAATATTTATATGTTTACTCCAAACAAAGAAAACACAAATAACCTAGCTAGTTTCATCGACCTGCAGAGAACACTTTGTCATTCAGGGTGAAATGGAGGATGTAGGGAAAGGCATTTTATTTCTTGATGACCTTTTTCATTATCAACAACTTGAATTATTTTTTGCTAAATATACGACACCACTATTCGCATGCTGCAGTCAGCCGTCGGCAGAAATCATGTGAGCCGAAAGCTCCTCGCGCGTATTCGTGTTTAGTAGTTTTTTTCTTTCCCATGCCTTGTTCGCCATGTACCGGTACAACGGGAAAATGGTATGCATGAAATGAAAATGGAAAAACGATGCGAGGAAAGTCGGAAAATTGTACTTTGGAGTACACCAAAAGATTCCTCACATTCTTACGAATCTTATAGTATATAATTATCTGGTACTTTAGAATAAAGATCACGAGCTATCAGAGGGGGAAGATAGAACATGGTGTCTACATCTATGCAATCACGTGGCCGGAATTGGGTGGTCTTCATGTCGGAAAAACAACCCAGTTTTTTTGTGGGTTGGATTTTCCCAAAAATTTTCCAACTATCATGTTGCCAGAAAGTTATGCTATAACGTAGTGTGCTTCGATTTTTCGATTAGCTTATTTTTCTAGCTCATTTTTGCGGGTTTTCCCAGATGTTCTAAAAAATCCCAGCAAGGGAATAATATCAATAATACTTCCAGACGGGGGCCTTAATCGTTACCCACAGCAAGTCACAGCAACCAGCGATCACGTCGAGCCATGTTTCTGATCAACACCTGAGATCACAAAGTGAAAGGAATGCAAGTCGTTATTCTGTGTTTAATCACTTGGCTGGTACTTTAATCGTATTAAAAGCAACAAGTTGTAAATATTTAGAAACCTCCATTTCGCCAACCTAGGCCACCAGCCATCGCCGCATCGCCCGTAATCGGCAAGATTGCTGGAGCGCGCAAAAAATATTTAAATCGCAATGAATAAAAAAAAATGTACACAACTCAAGCCCACAACAAAGAGCGACAGAGTCTTGAGTCAAATCGAAACAACGAACCAACAAAGTAATTATCGTAATCAAAGTAAAAGGTGATCTTGCATCGTCCCCCGCCGCTCGACCATTCGTTCGCCCTACGTCGCCGAACCTACACGGCTTGCGTTGTCCACTCGACTTCACAATACATAAAATACATGCACGTAAAAAGGCCCAATGCCTCTACTTAAAAAGCGAACGACGGAGAAAGCCCCCATCGGACGAAACGACCTCGACACGGGACGGGACGGACGACGGTCGGGCTAAGAGAAATGCAACTCTGGCTGCTTCTTTGGCTGCTCTTTTATTACTATTATTATTATTATTATCATTCGCTCTGGACAAAGGTAAAACCTCTCAAGGACGTTTGGCCGCGCGCTGGGGGCTGTGATGTGAGACCCCATGCGGTGGTGTGTGGCATGTTAGGCAATCCGAGCGAAATTTCTTCCTCGATCCATGGTATTGGTGTTCGAGTTTGAAGGGGGGACCGGTTGTGCGCGATTCACTCGAACAAGACAAAACTTATGCACACGATCGTCCCATGTATAGTTTGCTTTCTTCTCTCGGCTTTTCGGAAAGCACGCTCGGACGGGGGGATACTGCGAGCACACGCGAACCGCGAGATAAGGCCCAATCAAACAATTATCAAATCGCATTGTTTACATTTATTGGATGATCTAACACCCAACGAGCGATCGATGTATTGACCGGAGCGTAGTATAATGAGGTCTACAGGTCTTTGGCTTGCATTTTGCAGGTTTCCGACAGGGGGGGGTTTGCCATCTAAATAATACAAGCTGGATTTGAAAACACATGTACGGATGACATTACAAAACTATCCGCTTGTTTGCTGCCAACAACAACGTTCAGGCCTTGCGGTTGGAAGCCCGCACGCTCTTCATGACATGCAGAAAATCGAATTTCAAACTGGGAGAAAGTTACTCAACTCATTCGATCCTTGTGGCTTTGTTTTGGAAATCGAAGCTATGCTGATTTACATACTTCATTGACATTGCTGGTGATGTTCTTAAAAGATAAAGCTGGGTTTAGACTAGGCAAGTTAAATGATCAACTCAGTTGAATTCAATTGGCTTGAAAAGTTGAGCCTGGTTCAACATTTTCAATTGAATTCGACTGACTTGATCAATTGACTTGCTCTTTCTAAACCCAGCTTAATAGGCGAATCCAATTGGCAACTCAAAGTTGGCTCCCTTGGAGAATAGTAGAACAAACAATGAAAATGATAATGATTTCAAAATTTTCCACGGGGAGGTATACGAGTGCAATCTTGAAATGCTTTTATTTTGCAAAATCTTGTTGCTGTTACAGCGGTAGAAAAGCTGAAATCCATGCATGCATCTAAAATTCTGAAAACAAGCATTTTTTTCTATTTTATATGTCTATTGAGTAGCCCTTAAGTTTTCAATCGGTATATCTGGCAACGCTGTGGATGATCGACGGAGAATATTGTTCATAATAGATGGATGTCATTCAGATGTCTCTGAAGGAAGTATTTGAGTCAATCGTAGAAATTTATAAGCGGACAAGCGCCTTAATCAATTTGAATAGTTAATTAAATGTTCTCGTTTAGAAAAACCCATACCGAAGCGACCATAGTCTAACCTACCATTTCTTCTTCTCCCTTCCACCCTTTACAGACGAAGACGAAGAAATGCCCCTGGAAGGAGCTGCAGTCCCCAGTTCTTCATCAGCTGCCCCATCAACCGCGGGAGCCACCCCAACCTCTGCCAACCCCACCGGCAAACCCCGCCAGGGTGGATCGCACATCCATCTGTGGCAGTTCCTGAAGGAACTGCTCGCCACCCCGGAGCAGCACCAGAGTGCCATCCGTTGGATGGACCGCACCAAGGGCGTGTTCAAGATCGAAGACTCCGTCCGGGTGGCTCGCCTCTGGGGCCGCCGCAAGAATCGACCGGCCATGAACTACGACAAGCTGTCCCGCTCGATCCGGCAGTACTACAAGAAGGGCATCATGCAGAAGACGGAACGCTCGCAACGGCTGGTGTACCAGTTTTGTCATCCGTATTCGCTGTAAGCCGGGAAGCCAGGCTTCGACGTCGTAAGCGGGGGGAGGGAGGGAGGAGGGGTAGATATTTAAGAGTGTGATGATTTGTAGTGATGCGCGTGCGAGATTGGATCCGTCTGTCTGTCTGTTTGTTTGTTTGTTTACTTTAAGCTATTTTAAGTTATTTACCAACGTGAGAGTGTGAGAAAGTGCATAAATCTCTTTCGGGGGAAAATTATGACCTAATGAGGTGGATGGAAAATTTCCTCCCAAAGAATGATTTTCCCGCGTGAGTATAGCCTATAAGTTCAAACTTAGCAACAACATAAAATCACTCTTTTGTATTATCGCACCAAGATCCGTCTGGCGGCAAGTGGTATTAACTTGTCTCGCGGAAGATAATATTCTTAAAACGATGTGATTTATAACAATAACTGACAAGTCCACAACCGAACCGTCGTAGGTGACTGTGTGCTGCACTTGTTACTAGTTCGTAAGTGAAAGGCCAAGTGCATCCGAGCACTGTCTGTCGGACGGCGGGGAGCAACGTTAGTATGACGAACAACCTCCCCCCAAAGTACACAGTAACAGTTGCCGGGCAGGCCGAAGTCTCTATCGCTAAAGAATCTCAAACTTGTTGTTCAACCGAGAGGCTTACGGAGAGATCGCTCCGGCATGAAACAAGGGTTCGCGCTTATCTTGACGGAATCATCATGAACGGGTTTGATTCGCCCGGAAGGCGGAGAAGGTAATTTCTCTGTTCTTCCGGGGAACTGACCTGACTTCCCGATTGGAGGGAAGTGTGATTCCCGTAAGGAACGCGAATCCAACTGGAGGATCGATCCGAAGCGAACGATATCGAATAGTGTCGTCAGATCTGAACTTTTTTGTAGGTTTTTCGCTGTATTGTTTACCGAGTCATCCAATTCTAACGGTCCTTAAACCTCGCACGATTCAAACGTCGTCGGGGTGGTAAGATAAGGACCGCAGGTTGGGGATCGGTAATTTTGGTCCCATATATCTATGATATATTTTTATTGTAAGTTCTATGAACGATACAATTAAGATGGTATTTAATCCGGAGTAAATACGTCGATTTCCTTCTACTTTTCCTTACTTGATAAGTTTCATGAAAAAAAAATGTAAATAAGCAAACCTGCTAGGCTATCGTTGCAATACAATCCTTAGGTTTTAGGCGATCGCCATCCCTGCAGAATGGTCGATCGAAAGCGTTAGTTTTAGCTTCTTTTTGTTTTTGTTTTTTAGAATGTCAGTCAGAAGTCAGGCCAAAAGTCTTCGATCAGAAACAAGAGCTCACTTTCTCATCGAAGACTTTTTCCATACATTTCTAGCACTTTGTATTACACACATGAACCAATCCAACTGCGTAGGATTATTAAGAAACGGTGGCAGGGTACTATTTTACGAGGTAGATTTATAAACACAAGAGTTTCATGGAGTGCCTAGCTACGTTAAGCACTACCCCCACAACACACACATCAATCAAAAAACAAAATTAACCAATTGTGATCTAAGTGCCTTAATGATATTTTTATAATGTTTTCCACTTAATGTCATTGTCTTAAATCTTTTTTTTTATCGTTAACATAAGTGTATGATCTAATCAGCGCAGGAGTTGTCTAAGCGTACTATTATATACTATTTCAAGTGAACCAAGGTTTCAAAGTGTTTCCAGCTATCATGCTTGGGGCGTTTTAGGTTTAGGTTTTAAGATGGCTAACGCCGAGTTTGCATTGTGTAAGGCAGTCATAATCATCATCATTGTTTAGGTTTATTAATCATGATTAATAGATGTAGTCTAACCGATAACCGAACCATGCTGGTTTTCCGTTGATGGAACGCAAAAGAAATCCTTTGGCAAAAGAGTCTAAGCCCTCATGAGGGAAAGTCTAAAAAAACTCATTCCGCTCAGCTCCATTTAGAATGGGAAAATATCAAAAAATCAAATCACACCAACGGCCACGATCATGCTTGATTACAAGCTGTGACTACTTAGGCTCTGAACCATTTGGTGGATTATTTTAACTTTTGGTTAAAATTTGACAGATGGAAAGTTATCAATTAACCCTGCTATCCGAGCGTGGTTATTTCTGACAGACAAGAAGTTAAATTTTGACGACCGTGGCTCGAAAACCGGTCGATCGACAGCACGGGGATTTTCGAACATAAGAAATAACTTTCGAAATGTCACTTTTAACTACGAGTTAAATTTAACTCGGCAAATGGTTCACAGCCTTAGGCTCTGAACCATTTGGTGGATTATTTTAACTTTTGGTTAAAATTTGACAGATGGAAAGTTATCGATTAACCCTGCTATCCGAGCATGGTTATTTCTGACAGACAAGAAGTTAAATTTTGACAACTGTGGCTCAAAAACCGGTCGATCGACAGCACGGGGATTTTCGAACATAGAAAATAACTTTCGAAATGTCACTTTTAACCACGAGTTAAATTTAACTCGGCAAATGGTTCACAGCCTTAGCTGCGAATATCAAGCTTACAAAAGTCACCAAATACAGTTCTAACCGAACCGTGGTGAGTTTGAGTTTCATGATTTTTGCTTTACATCCGAACGGGACCCGATAGTACCGACACTGCTGGCAGCAGTAGCTTCGTGTCTGCCATCGGTGACGAGTAAATAGAGATAGCAAACTATACTTTCTCTTTCTAAGAAAACGATGTACAACGAATCCATTTTTGTGTCGAATCAACTCTCAGCCACTAGCGGCTCGAGGGGGGAGGGGCAGGGGGGCACGTGCCCCACCCCCTTGTATGGTCACTTAAGACACTTTTTACAACACGGATAGAAATCTTCTTATTCCTTTTGGCAAATTTCTTTTGCTGATTATTCATAAAATGTATAAAACTTACCTTACCAATCAGGCTAAGGCCTTGTTGTCCTCTGCTGTCCGAAGAAGTCGTCTCCACTCTACTCGATCCATGGCCACAGTTCGCTAACCTCGTAGTCTGCGAAGGGTCCGCAGGTCACCTTCTACTTGGTCGATCCACCTTGCCCGCTGCGCGCCTCTTCTTCTTGTTCCTGTTGGGTCGCTTTCTAGAACCATTTTCACTGGGTCGTCGTGCGGCATTCTTACGACGTGCCCAGCCCACCGTAGTCGCCCAATTTTTGCAATGTGGACGATGGATGGTTCTCCCAGCAGCTGGTGCAATTCGTGGTTCATTCGCCTCCTCCACGTTCCGTCATCCATCTGCACTCCACCGTAGATGGTACGCAACACCTTCCGTTCGAAAACACCAAGGGCGCGTTGGTCCTCCACGAGCATAGTCCAGGTCTCGTGGCCGTAAAGGACCACCGGTCTAATCAGCGTCTTGTAGACAGTCAACTTCGTGCGGCGGCGAATTTTATTCGACCGGAGCGTCCTCCGGAGTCCAAAGTAGGCACGATTCCCTGCCATAATGCGTCTTTGTATTTCTCTGCTGGTATCATTTTCGGCGGTCACCAGTGAGCCCAAATACACGAACTCATCGACCACCTCGATTTCGTCACCGTCAATCTGAACTCGGGGTGGGAGGCTAACATTGTCTTCCCTAGAACCTCTTGCTTTCATATATTTTGTCTTTGATGCGTTGATGGCAAGTCCAATCCGTCTAGCTTCAGCCTTCAGTCTGATGTACGTTTCCGCCATCATCTCAAAGTTCCGTGCCATAATGTCAATGTCATCGGCGAAACCAAGGAGCTGGATGGACTTCCTGAATATCGTGCCACTCGTGTCTATCCCAGCTCTTCTGATCACACCTTCTAACGCGATGTTGAACAGCAGACACGAAAGTCCATCACCCTGCCGTAACCCCCTTCGAGATTCAAAGGGACTCGAGAGTGTCCCCGATACTCGAACAACGCACGTCACTCGATCCATCGTCGCCTTGACCAATCGCGTCAGTTTATCCGGAAATCCGTACTCGTGCATAATCTGCCATAGCTGATCTCGATCGATTGTGTCGTATGCGGATTTGAAATCGATGAACAAATGATGTGTGGGCACGTTGTATTCGCGGCATTTCTGCAGAACCTGCCGAATCGCGAAAATTTGGTCCGTGGTAGCGCGGGCACCCATGAATCCCGCCTGGTATTGCCCCACGAACTCTCTTGCATATGGTGACAGACGGCGGCATAGAATTTGGGAGAGTACCTTGTAGGCGGCGCTCAGCAGTGTGATCGCGCGGTAGTTGTAGCAATCCAACTTGTCGCCCTTTTTGTAGATTGGGCATACGACACCTTCCATCCACTCCTCCGGTAATATCTCCTCCTCCCAAATCTTGGCAATTACCCAGTGCAGCGCTCTAGCCAGTGCTTCACCACCGTATTTCAATAGCTCACTTGGTAGTTGATCTACACCAGTTGCTTTGTTGTTCTTCAGCCGACCGATCTCCTCCTCAACTTCTTGAAGATCAGGGGCCGGTAGCCTGTCGTCTTCTGCGCGTGCTCCAAGGTCTGTTGCCGTGCCACCTTCGTTTTCTGCTGCTTCACCGTTGAGGTGCTCGTCATAGTACTGCTTCCACCTCTCAATCACCTCACACTCGTTCGTGAGAAGGTTACCGTCCAAGTCCTTGCACATATCGGCTTGCGGCACGTAGCCTTTGCGCGAACTATTTAGCTTCTCGTAGAACTTCCGTGTGTCGTTTACGCGGTACAGATTTTCCATCGCCTCGCGATCTCGATCTTCCTGCTGACGCTTCTTCCTTCGGAAAACCGAGTTTTGTCTGTTCCGCGCTTGTCTGTATCGCTCCACATTCAATCTCGTGCGGTGTTGCAGCATTCTCGCCCGTGCTGCATTCTTCTCCTCTACTAACAGTTTGCATTCGCCGTCAAACCAGTCATTTCTTCGGTCCGGGATTGCAGTACCTAGTGCCGCTACAGCAGTACTACCTATGGCTGAACGGATGTCCCTCCAGCCATCTTCAAGAGAAGCTGCGCCAAGCTGCTCTTCCGTGGGTAGTGCAACTTCCAGCTGCTGCGCGTAGTCCTGGGCAACTCCGGTGTCCCGTAG